ATATGTACTACCTTTTCTTAATCCATTTATTATTTGTAGGGCATTTGGGCAGTCTCTAAATAAAATATTAAACTGGCTAATAAGCCCTTGAAATGAAGCTCATTATTAGCAGTCATCAAAAAAAAATGTGAATCAAAGCACAACAGTGTATCACTTATATCCTACCCAGTAGGATATGTCAAAACAAAGATGACAGCAAGTGCTGGAGAGGATCTGGAGAAACTGGAAGCATCATACACTGCTGGATGGTGTAGTGATGGTGCCCTTGCTTTGGAAACAGTCTGGTAGTATTTCTTCTCTTTGTATTTTTTGACATAGTTTGAGATGCATCGGTGTTGGCTCTTCTTTAAAGCTCTGGTAGAATTCAGCAGTGAATCCATCTGGGCCTGGGTTTTTCTTTGTTAGAAGGTTTTTTTTTTTCTTTTTAGAACTGTCTTTATAGATCTGTTTAAGTTGTTTATGTCCTCTTGGTTCTTTTCTGCTCTATTTTTCAATTTTCTGGAGTATAGGTTTTCAAAATACTCCCACATGATCTTCTGAATTTCATTGGTGACTGTTGTAATATCCCCCTTTCCATCTGTGACTTTATTAATTTGGGTCTTCTCCATTCTTCTTTTGGTGAGCCTGACTAAAGGTTTATTGGTCTGGTTTATCTTTTCAAAGAACCAACTTTTTGTTTCATTGATTCATAGTGTTGTTCTTTGGGTCTCTATTTCATTAATTTCTGCCCTATTTTTATAATTTCTTTCCCTCTACTACTTTTGGGAGGGGCTTGTTCTTGCTTTTCTAAGAGTTTGTGGTACATCATGAGACTGTTTGAGAGCTCTCTAATTTTCGCTGTGGGCACTCATGGTTCTAAACTTCCCTCTTATGTCTTATGCCTGTGTCCCACAGGTTCTGATAAGTTGTCTTCCTGTTTTTATTTTATTTTATTGTTGTGCTGGGTAGGGGCACACTGTGGCATTTACAGAGGTTTTTACAGTATATCAGATGTATCATTCTTAAATTCACCCTCTCCACCATGTGTATCGTTTGCATTTGAATCTAGGAATTTTGGAATTTCTTTCCAAATTTCTTCGATGACCTATTGGTCACTCAGAAGTGTGTTGTTCAGTCTCCATGAATTTGACTGGTTTTCCTGCCAGTGATTCCTACTTTTATTCCATTATGGTGTGTTAAGATTCAGGGGATTATTTTTATTTTTTAATATTTGTTTACATTGCAATTTTTTTATTCTATAGATTGAGCTTTTCACTTTCCTGATAGTGTCCTTTGAACTGTAAATATTTTAAATTTGGATGTCTAATTTATTATTTTTGTCTTTTATTGTTTGTTCTTTTGGCTTCATACCTAACAAACCAGTGCCTTATCTGAAGTCATGTGGATTTTCCCCTATGGTTTTCTTCTAAGAACTTTATAGTTTTAACTTTTGCACTTAAGTCTTTGGTTCATTCTGAGTTAATTTTTCTATGTGGCAGGAGGTAGGGGTCCCATTCCATTCTTTTGCATGTTGATACCAATTATCCTAGCGTCATTTGTTGAGAAGACTATTGCCAGTTGAATTGTCTTTGAACCCTTGTAAAAAATGTATCAATTGACCAGAAACATGAGGGATTCTTTCCAGGCTCCCAATTCCATTCTTTTATTCATAAAACTATCTTTATACTAGTACCATACTAACATATGAGGCCAGGCTGTCCTCAAACTTGTGATCCTTCCTGAGTATTAGGATTGCAGATGTGTGCCACAATACTTGGTACTTTTTTTTTTAAATGAGAGATAGGGTCTCACTATGTTGTCTACACTGGCCTTGAATTTGTGACCCTCCTGCCTCACCCTCCATAGTAGCTCAGACTATAGGCTTATTCTACTGTGCTTGGTCCCCTCATCCTCTTAGCCATGTCCCACATCTGAACTTCACACCCATGTATCTTTCCACTTACCTTCTTGATAATCCTACTTAGATGTCTAACAGGCAGCTCAAATTTAACATGTCTAAAACTTAGCATCTAGTCTTAAAGGAAATATCTTGTAGGGGAAAAAAGTAAGAAAAGAAATAAACTAACATTTCCTGAGTACTTTTAGTACTAGGCATCATTTCATTCACAATGTATCTTAATTCTGTGACATCTGGGGACATATTCTTGCCCATGCTAGAGCACGGTGGGGCAGAGGCTTGAACTTGGGTATGTTTGATTCCAGCCCATGAGCTCCTTTCTATTAGCGATACTGTACTTTTCCACAAATTGCAAAATATATGGTCCTACTTTGTACTCTCCTCGGGATTGCCCTTTGGAGTAGTATCATAGTTCAGAAAAAAAAAGATCCCCCTGGCCATGTGAGCTGTGCAGTGCTGTGGAGCTGCCTTGTCCCTCTTCTGGGTAGAGTAAACACATAGAAATGTTTCCAGTGTGCAGACAGCCTTCTCCACTCTCGGGGAAAGACTACCTTGAGTTTTTGACCATTTTCTCTGGCCATTTCCAAGACTTTCACTGGCCTTGGTAGATATTTCACCCCTATCAGAACTGATTTCATTCATTTGATTAGTTGGATTCTTCATCTTTTCCTCCATTCCTTCTTGTCTTTTTCCTATTTGTTCAGGAATTAACCTGTCTCTCTGGGTTTATGCAGGAAATTCTACTCTGATACTTGCTTGTTCACTTCTAGCACTGAGAATTTGTTCAGCTTTTCTAACACTGTCAACAATTTCCTTAATCAAATATTGGTTACCAAAAAAATTATTGTGCTTAGATATCAGTGGCAACAATCCTTAACAAAAGTACGTCCAAGATGAACCTATGCCTGTTGGGAATGAATTTTTACAACAAATTTTGACTTGACTGAAAAAAACAGCCCATTGTCAGGTGGCTACTGCTATCCCATTTGGTCCCCATGATAGATGTGCAAATGCGGGAACTATGGTGAGCTTATTTGTCCATGTTCTCAGGTCGTCAGGGGAGAGCTAATTCTGTTTTCATGTATGTGGCTAATTCTGATCAAGTAGATGTCTAAGGTCTTCTGTCTACTGCAGGGTGAGGTCCTATCCCTTAGATTTTACTTCTTGGTGCCCAATGATCTTACCCTTCCCAGAAGCCCCTTCCTGTGTACTTTATTCCATGTGTTAAACATTTCCTGACTAGCTCTTCCACTTGCAGCTAACCCATTCTAAGTGTCGGACAGTCATGAGACCAGAAGATCTCTAAGCGCTTTTACAGTTCAGTCTGTCTCAGGCTTTATGATTTTATTTTTTGTAAGTAAGCCTAATTAATGTCTTTATGATTTTATTTTTCTTAAGTGAGCCTGAATTAGTGTAGGTGACAATGGCTTAAATGTGCTATGCCAGATAGCAAATATGCATCTTCTCTTCCATTTATCAACCATGGCAGACTCATTCATTGGTTTCAACATTCTTACACGTAGAACCTAGTCATGACCTCAGACTTCCTGAACCACTACCAGTGACTCACAGATGAAATGTGTTTGGCTTCCTTGCCTCCCCATCTGTCTCTAGTGCTTTAATCTGAAGGAGAGACTAGTGGTGATCAGGTGATCAGGGTGCCATAGAGTGGGCTCGGGGGTTAAGCTACCTGTGTTAAAATTCTGTCTCTACAGAAAGTAGGCTCCTTTCTGTGTGAGCTTGGAAAACTTACTTAACTTTTCAACTTCTTTGTTTGTAATATGGGGTATAAGAATTAGACCTACCTCATGTGGGTTGTAGAGAGGATTGAATGAAATAATATGTAGAGAAAAGTGCTTAGTTATATGTGCCAGGCACACATAACTCAATATGCATATAACATTAATTACATGTATGATAAGAGCTTGGAGGTGGATGAAAGGAAAAGTGCTTGGATTGATAGGTTCTTGTGACACCCCATCAATCTGTATGGTATTCAAAGATTCATTCTGTCAATGTGAATTGACCCCTTTCATTCATTCATTTAGGAAAAATTATGTGCCAGGTATACAGCCAGGTTTCTAGGATATAGCTTTAAATAAGAGGAGTCCTTTTCCAAGTTTTCAGTGTAGTGAGAGTAAAAGCCATGTAAACAGATAGCTACCCCATTCTTAATAATTGCAGCCACTGGAGTTTTCACAGGGTCTTTAGGAATACTGTGTGCAGGTGGAGTCTTCTTGGAGATAGGGTTAAATTTGGCATGGAAGAGATACTACCTCTGGCTTGCCTCTTACCAGTCTTGCATATGTAGTGGAGCCCTTGTGGAATTGCTACTTCCTGGTCTTGCTGGTGCACAGGTCAGTAGCACATGTCAGTAGCCTAAGCATTCATTCAGTCACTCGACTGACAACCTCAAAGTTTGCCACTCCTCCCTGAGCCACTGTCCCCCTAATTCTCAGAGCTGATGGAGCTGGGGAGAGAGAGGTGAAGATAAATGAAAGTAGCCTCGAATTTTGTCAGAATTTATAGTTGGGCCTCTCTTTGTGCCTTAGGCACAATAAAGTCAATGAGTATATTCCCTGCTTAAGTCAGGATAGAGCGAGTCTCTGTGAAAGCCTTAGATGGTGACAGTGTGAAATCTGGGTGGGGGAAAAAGATTCCTTTTTCTGATGGGGGAAGGAGTCCATGCCATGACCCATCCTGTCCCCTCACTGGTGTCTTAACAGTAAGCAGCTGTTAGTAGCACATGTCAGTAGCCTAAGCATTCATTCAGTCACTCGACTGACAACCTCAAAGTTTGCCACTCCTCCCTGAGCCACTGTCCCCCTAATTCTCAGAGCTGATGGAGCTGGGGAGAGAGAGGTGAAGATAAATGAAAGTAGCCTCGAATTTTGTCAGAATTTATAGTTGGGCCTCTCTTTGTGCCTTAGGCACAATAAAGTCAATGAGTATATTCCCTGCTTAAGTCAGGATAGAGCGAGTCTCTGTGAAAGCCTTAGATGGTGACAGTGTGAAATCTGGGTGGGGGAAAAAGATTCCTTTTTCTGATGGGGGAAGGAGTCCATGCCATGACCCATCCTGTCCCCTCACTGGTGTCTTACAGTAAGCAGCTGTTGTGTGATGTGATGATTGTGGCGGAAGATGTCGAGATAGAAGCCCACCGCGTGGTCCTGGCAGCCTGCAGCCCCTACTTCTGTGCGATGTTCACAGGTATGATGAGGGCACACCATAACTTACGGTACTGGGAAAATATTGAGGGTGGTGGACTGGGGGGAGGGGAGAAATAAAAGACTACAGAACCCACCGTGAGGAGCTTCTCTGTTCTCAGCTTTGCACCATGGAGGACTGGATGGAAAAAGAGCCTCAGCCTGGCCAGCAGGACATGAAGAAAAAGGAGGTAGACTCATAGGGTCCACTAGTTCTCAAGCCTTAGCATGCATCATAAATCACATGGGGGAGCTTGTTTGCCATGCAAATTCCTGGACTTACTGTCGACCTTCTGAGCTCTTGTGCAGATGGGGACACTGAGGCTGAGAGAAGGGAACAGACTTGCCCAAAGTCACACATTGAGTGAGTGGGTTTGGCTTCTTGACACCTGGCTCATTGTTGTACCTTTGGACCCACATTGTGTTCTTCCCTAGATCTTCCTTCCAAGCAGGTGTCAGGGGCCCCCTCTAGCCTTTATGGAAGTGTAGAGGAGATTTGGAGAAGTGATGGTAGGTTTGGAAGTGATGAGACAGGAATAATCCGTATCTCACATAATTTCAGCACCCTTACCAAGTTTCCAGGAAAGAAGTAGCCTTGTCTAACTATATCGCATCTGTTATGTCTGGGCTGAATTCCCTGAAACCCACGGGCTGAGCTTCCTGTCTACACTTCCTCCCAGCACCGCCCCTGCACCAGGTACATGCGGTGCTCTATAACCCATTGCTGAGGGAGGAGGCCGTCTGGGCTTGTGAGACCCCAGCCCGGTCAGGTGCCCTTCCTACATGTTTTTCTAGTGCCTTGTGCCTGCTCTGAATATAGTGACCATCACTGTGACTTGTGGCCTGTGAGTTGGTGTCTCCAATGCCCATCCATTGGCCCTCATGTCATAGACTGCTCCTCATTCTGTTAGTGTCTCCTCCTCAGAGAGACCTCCTCCCACTCCCTGTTTATTTACTTATTCATTTATGCAGCACCAGGGGTCAAACTTAGGGTCTTGCCCAGGTTAGGCAAGCACTCTACTACTTAATCTACATCTCTAGCCATACCAGGCCTCTTTCTATCCTATAACTTGGCTTTACTTTTTTCACATCAAACTTACCACTATCTGAAAATCCTCTTGGTTGTCTATTTTTTTTTAACCTGTCTCACTTCCTGAAGACAGGGACCTTGTTGGACTTGTTTGTTACTATGTTCTGAGTGCCTAATACATAGCAGGATTCGAATATATTTTAAATTAGTCAATGAAATGTTTCCTGCACTTGGTTGTGAGCTTTGGGCACGTGGGAAGCATTCGTTGTCAATGTTGAGTCCTCAGTGCCCACCACAGGTAGCAGTGAGTGAGAGAAGGTTGAAAGGATGAGCATGAGTTTGATGACTGGTGTGTGAAGAACATTTCTGCAGAACATGCTCTGATTATCCTAATATGCTATGAGGCTGGGCTAGACTGGGCCTTGTTGGGAGAACCTTGGCATTGCAGTGGGAGAGATCCTTGCATGTGTGTCTTCTGGCTCTTCATATGAATTTGCTGGTCTCAGCTTCAAGTTTGCCGTTACCTCATTTTGAGCCATGGGCCAGGAGTTTCACAATGTAACTTGGAAAACCAGGTACATTCACTACATGTGCGTTTGAGCCGCACTCCCTTTGGAATGGTCTCAAACTATTCCTTTCTCCTCCCTTTCCTTCACTCATCTCTAGTTTTCTTAAGATGGCTTATTTTGTCTTGATAGTGTCTTAGCTGCAACTTCAGTCAGTATCTCTGCCATTTGTGTGCTGCATTTTGGGAAGTCCAGCATTGAGAAAGGAATCTGTTTGCAATTGCGACGAATCATTGTGTTGGCTCTACTTCTCGATAATGAACTTACCTCTGGGGTGGTAGAAAAAAACAAAGTGATTTTAGAAATTTGGAGAAATCATGCTTCTGAGGCAGACCTTGGATTCTAGTAGTTGAAAGGAGGTTAGAGTCAAGAGAAGAAAGTACTCTAATGGAATGACAAGTCCAAAACTTCCATTGGCTCTGGTTACCACCTGTCCTTACCCCCAGCTCATTTGCCCATCCATCTAAACACTATTTGCATATGTTGATTACAGAAAAAGAAATCAGGATGTGAATAAGTAAAAAAAAAAAAGTATATGTATTACAAGATTTAGGTACAAGTATGGTTTATTTCCTTTCAGGTTTTGTATTTATAAATACAAACATATATTTTTGACATAAATGAGTTTATGATATATACATATAGGTGTCAAATGCCTTTTTTTGATGTGTATATCTTTAAAAAACATTCTGTGCTGCCTAAGTCCTGCTCCTCTTCCATTAACCTCAAAGCATGACTTCTTTAAGAGGGTCTTCTATGACTGCTCTGGACTAGTTAAATCCCTTTGTTACTTACTCCCAACATGCTTTATGCTTTCTTTAGTGTTACTGCTTATCTCAGTACTTCCTTAATATCTAATTTCCCTGATCAGTCATAAACTTTGTGAGGATAAGAGCTGCATCTTCTTAATTCATTGCCTATCATGATCTGCTGTGTAAGAGATGCTCAATAAAAATGGGTTTAATTGAACTAAGCAGTGTATCATGGATATCTTTCCAAGTCAACAAAATCGTATCTCCACCCTAATTGCAATGGATTCATCAAATTCCATCATCTGCATCCTAATGGAAAATCCATTTCCTTATTTGTTGGAGATTATAGTTCTTTCTAGCATTTTCCTATTATGAGTGATGGTATAATGGACATTTTAGTCTTTATTTACCCACTTGGTTATGTCCTTAGAATAGGGATAGAAAATTCTTTCTTTAAGGCCATGCACATTTTGAAAACTTGTGAGACATGCACCACTCTGTCCTGCTCCTATCAGTACTATATGAGATTTGTTTACTTTTGAGGCCTCTTGGCTCTGATTAAAACATGGTAAATAGGTATAAAAATCTCAAGTAATATTGCAAAATTTTGTTCTGCTCACCAGATTTGCCTTCAAAATGCTTAAAATTCATCATGAAAACCCAGGTGACTCTTAAGTCCATTTCCATCAGTTTGCTTATGCCAAGGGAAAAGAAAATACATGTGCCTTTCTTCTGATTGAGTTGTATGGTTACAATCTTTTGTCAGGCTTAAGTGTTTTTATTTTTATCCTCTGAGTTCACGTTGCCCAAAGTCTTTTGGTGGTTCCAAATACCACCTCCATACCCCTTCACATGTCCCGCTATGACTTGGAATGCATAATGTGAAACCAAGTTCTGAGTGCCCTCCAGACAGTGCCCACATCCAGCCAGCTGGTAAGACGATCTGGGGTGGGCAGTCCCCTGAATTGCCTTCCACTCCTTTCAACAGAGTGTGAGTGGAGAAGCCAGCAATGCTGTGTTGTGGTTACCATTTTCCTATAGGTGTGTAATACTGAAGACTCCTCCCTATCCTTGTCATCTCCTCCCTATCCTTGTCATCTCCTCCCTATCCTTGTCATCTCCTCCCTATCCTTGTCATCTCCTCCCTATCCTTGTCATCTACGTCCTAGGAGATGTAGTTGTCCTATATAATAGCCTAGTCAACTTTTCTCTCTTTTCATCATTCCCTTTACTCTAGGGTCTGCGTACTGTAGTATTTGTATTCTGTACTGGTCTCTGATCTTCACATCATCCAGGTACTTTAAAAACAGCCCCATCTTATGGTGTTAAAGGGGCAGAGGACTCAAGAATGTGTGGGCTCAAGGGTTTTGTACCTGTTATTGTGGCTAAAAGACATGTGGGCATCCATTCCAAATGGAGCTCTGGGAGTGAGCAATGCCACTTTAAAAAAAATTCTTTTGTACCATACACATTGGATGATTTATTTTTTTGTGGCATGGGGGTTTGAACTCAGAGCCTTGCATTCACTAAGGGCATTCTACCTCTTGAGCCATGTCCCCCACCCTAGTTTTTGTCTTTTTAAAAGAAGAGTTACTGTCCAATTTTTCTTAGATTCAGGGCAATGTTCAACTGGTCTCTTTGAACTTGTGGTGAGACAAGTTAGGGAGAAGTGGTTAGGATTGTGCTAGGGATGAGACAAGAGACTTAGGATTTGGGTGGATATCCATCATCCAGAAAGTAGAACCCTGAGACATGTACTCTAGAACCTTTGTTTCACTCTTTCTGCCTGCCAGACTCTATCTGGATCTGGCCCATGGCCTGTGTCTATGTTTTGGGTGCCTTCAGGTATATTGATGCTTTTGAGGAACTTCATGTAACATGCAACTTAGCAAAACTTGACAGGGAGGTAGAACTAGTGAGCTACTAGTAGTAGCAGATAAGGTCTGGTTTCTGAGAGTTTTGTCCTTGCAGAGTCAGCAATTGAATAGTTCATCACAACAGGGTTGGAATTATCAGAGACTGCCTGGGACTAAAGCATAATGGCCTCACCTTAAATGTGACTGTCAATTCTTGAGTTAGTCACCTTTGAGCTGAAGTGTCAGTGTGCATAGGGTTTTTTTCTTCCTGTCCCTCAGGGATTACATCAAAGGCAAACCAGGAAAGCATCCTTTCCTGGTTTAGGACACCCAGATTTGGAACTGAAAGTTGCTGGAGTTATATCTAATAATATGTTGTTGGTGATGTAGAAACCAGTGAGTTTTTCAAGCAGTGATTATGATTGTGGTTCAACAGAGGAATGTGTAGTGCCTAGGAATAGAGACCACTATTCTGTTCCTACCACGTTCCCATTAAGAAGCAACTGTTTTGACCAAGATGGCTGAGCTTGCTCAGCCAAATATACATCATCATGGGAGATCACTATTGGTAAGGAATATTTTATGAATGTTCATAGAGGAGGCTTGGAATTGGTGGTGTGAAAGTCTTTTTTGCTGAGGATTAAAGACAAGAGTGGTAATACCACCTTGCATTGGGAGAGGGTGTGGTATCTTGGGACAAACTTTGGAACCCTAATGACCTAGTTTCTAATCTTAACTCCAAGAGTCAATAGGTATGTGGGAAATTCATTTATCCTCTTTGATCCTCAGTTTTCTTATCTGTATACTGAAATAATATCCATGGAACAAATACAGGGAATAGGTAGAAGGCACCCAGCACAGAATAGGTACTTAGTAATAAAGTTTACTTTTGTTATTTGTAGAGCTCTTGTGGATATAAGGGTTGCCTGTTACACTGGCCATCCAATGGTGGTGACAGTTGGTGTGAAACACCTGTGTGTCTACATAGGCACATCCTTCTGCCACTAGCTGAGCAGAAGGTCCGTTGGGGTGGAAGAGGTATGAAAGTCCAGGGAAGGTGGGTGAGGGGATGGTCTTCATCATTGTGATTCTGCTGGGTCCCACTGTCTCAGCTCTCACACTGTTATTGTCTCTCTTGATTCTCACACAGTTTAGGGATAAAGGCAGAGCAGGGAATGTCCTTATTTCATAGAGATGGAGGCCAGACTTTTGAAGTCAAATGGCCCAGACAACTGACATCATGTGGGAGGGTTGGCTAGGATTCACAGAGGGGGCAGATCACTTCTTCTCTCATACGAGATTGAACAGTTGATGTGGGCCTAGTGTTCAACTCTAGCTAAATCAGTTGGCAAGGCAGATGTTAGCCTTAGACAGATAGGAGTTAAGAATACCATCTTAATACCTATGAAGGATCATTGTACACAGGATAAGGATTTTCCAGTTTTTGTGCTACCTGCTGCATGTGACTAACTTGTAGCAAAAAGGATTCAAGTTAGAAGCAAGGAAGAATTCTATAACATAGAATGTCTGGCTGATATTCTCTGAAATTCAGATCCTGAGGCGGCTGGCTGGCCCGCCTGGGAAAAGCTAGCAGAAGAGGCCTCTTGGGTTGACCTTAGAGATGGAAAAAGACTTACAGGGCTCATTCTGTTTTCTAGAAGTATTTTATCAAACGATTACAGGCAAGTGAAGGACCAAGAATGACCCAGCCCTTGGTGGTTTTTACCCTTCAGGAATTACTACAGTTCATGGGATTATGAGATATGAAGAGAAAACCTCCCTTCTTCCTTTTGTTCCCACCCCAACAAATATTTTCTAAGTGCTTGTTTTCTGCCAAGCACTTTGTGATGTGCTGAAGCTGTCTTGAGAAATAGGCCTGACAAAGTCCAGCCTTCTTGGTTCTTGCTTTCAAGGTATTGAGTGCTAGCTTGTCCTCAAAAGTCTGACCAACACTTTGAGTTTGTGAATACTTTTATCAAGGTCTTTGGTTAGGGCCAGATTGAAACTATAGAGGGATTTAATAGAAATGACACAGGGTCTAGATTTGGGCCAAAGTTTCAAAACCCAGCCCTACCTCTTACTACCTAAGTATAATTTCCTCTTGAAATGCCATTTCTGTGATTTGTAAAAAGACAGTCATATCATCCACCTCCAGAGGTCCGAAGGAATAAATGAAATAATGTGTACAGACCCTTAGCAGAGGGCCTGGCATACAACAGTGACTATTATTACTGCCATTTTCAGAGCTGATTTAAGCTAATGTCTCAGTTTGGTGTAGTAATTTCTGTTGTTTTATAAGAAATAGTAAGGTTGGATTTTATAAGCCTTGTGTCTTATATAGGTCTTTAATTTACTTTATGGGAACTTTCTTAGAAAATAACTTGTTAAACCCCTTGTTATTCTTTCACGTCATTTTTTTCAAGAACTTAACATTGAAAATGAGAAGTTTCAGAGTTTTTCAAAGAAGCAAGAAAAAAGTTCCCCAAGGACTCACTGGTTAGAAAACTGTGTTAAATTTTGAGGATCACAGAAGCTTGTAAGGATCTGATAAAAAAAATCTATCATCTCAAAAAACAAAACCCTGAACTTTTTTTGTATATATACAAATATTTTCATACATTGTCAGAAGTTTCCATTTGTTTACCCCAAAGTTAGAAAGCCCTAATCTAACTCCCAAAAGTGAATTCCATAGACAGAAAACAGTCAGCCAGGCTTCAGTTGCACTCTCATGGTAGGCTTTCCAGCTTTTGGGTTCTTGTAGGCTGCCTGGTTTTTTCTTTTTCAGCCTTATTTTTTAAGGCCTAAATTTTAAAACTAAGAATTGGCCATCTTTGATTACCTTTTGCAATATATTTTTCAGTTGAACCTTCACTAATGAGTTTCTTGATAGTTATTTGGAGAAGGAAGTTTAACTTAGATTTCCTTGTCTATGCTTGATTTTTTGTTTGCATGTCTCAGCATCAACTGCAGAGAGATTGGCAGCCTGACGTAAGGGTAGAGGGAGCATTTCTTGGATTTTTATCAGGGCCTCCCAACTGTTCACCCTGCAGTTTCCCCTCTGCATCCAAAATTTCATTCAAAAAATACCATCTGAATTGATATCATTCTCTTTTTCAGAGCCTCATAGAGGTGCTACCCTTTGGATCAAGTCCAAGCTCATTTGCATGAGTTCTGGGCCCATCCATGTCTCCAGCTTCCTTTTTTGCACCACACCCCACAGATAGCCACACTAGCCTTTTTCCCCATTCCCTAAATGTATCCTCTTGGCCTGTTACACTCTGTCTTTGCTGCCTGTGGAGCTCCTCTTCCTCCTCTCATACCCAGCTCAAATGTGCCCTCCTCTAGGATGCCTCACTGGAGTTCCCAGGCCTGGTTTATTGCTTCTTCTCTGTGTTCCTGACGTTTAGGATAGTGTGGTAGTTATAGTTCTGGACTCTAGAATCAGACTCTCTGGCTTTCAACACACTGTGGCCCTTTTCTAGATGTGTGACCATGGCAAGACAAATTACTGACCTTGTTGGCCTCTGTTTCTTCCTCTGTAAAATGGAGGATGTCATTAATAAACTTCCTAGATTGTTGTGAGTTTGGGAAGAAGAAGCAATTGAATGTGCTTCACAGTGTTTGGCCGTGTTAGCACTCAACAGATGTTACTTTTCCTGTTGGGGTGGTACTTTGTGCCTACCTTTCCTAAGTCCTTGTCATCTCACTGATAGATATTTTGCCTCTCCATCTTGCTAGACCTGTGCTGCTCATTGAGGACAGCCACAGATCTGGCCCTGTGTGTAGAAATTTGTAGGAAATGCTGGTTGAATGAGTTATTGCATGCTGGTTTGCCTTCAGGGTGAAATTGGGAAAGAGAATGCACATGGTTAGAGTGACAGGTGATCAGAGGCCCAAGATTAATGTAACCTCAGCATCAACTGGCTCTTCCCCCTCTGTGCCTGAATCCCTTCCATCACTTCCCACAGCACAAGCAGGATGTAGAAGTACCAAGTTCATGTCCTTTTTGTTTTTGCTGTGAACTGTAGGTGACATGTCTGAGAGTAAAGCCAAGAAGGTGGAAATCAAGGACATGGATGGACAGACCCTCAGTAAGCTGATTGACTACATTTACACTGCGGAAATTGAGGTGACGGAAGAGAATGTGCAGGTAGGCTCAGGGTGCTGTCCACGTAGGACGTGCTTTTCTAGCCTTCCCTTGTTTGCCCCTCACACAGCTCAGAGGTCACTAAAGGGAAGCTGAAGGTGCAGAAAAGTTCAGTGACTTGCCCTGGGTCAGATGATCCCGCATGCCTGCCTGCCTGGCTCAGGCACATAGGCCATAATACCTCTGAATGAGCCTGGGCCCTGGGATCAGATAGTATATATTTTTTAATTAGTGTATATTGTACAAAGAAGTTTCATTGTGACATTTCTATGCATGCTTATAATATATGTCGATTGTATTTACCCCATCACCCTGCTGCTTCCCACTGGTTCCCCCACCAAACAGTCCCTCTTTTACATTCATTTTATTTTTTTGTTTTTTTTTTAGGACTAGATCTTGCATATGAGAGAAAAAATGTGGTATTTGTCTTTCTTAGTCTGCCTTATTTTGTCTGACACGATGATCTCCAATTTTATAGATTTTTCTACAAATGACATAATTTTATTCTTCTTTACTACTGAATAATTCTCCATAGTGTATACACCATATTTTCTTCATCCATTTATTGGTTGACGGGCACCTAAGCTGATTCCATAGGTTGGCTGTTGTGAATAGTGCTGTTGTAAACATGAAAGTGCAGATATTTATTGGGTGCTGACTTACATTCCTATGGATATATGCCCAGGAACAGTATAGTGGGAGCATATAATAGTTCTATTTTTAGCTTTTCAAGGGACCTCAATACTGATTTCCATGGTGCTGCACTAATTTACATTTCCACCAATGGGGTTTGATGGTTCTCCACTCCACGTCCTCCCCAGCATTTTTGTTTGTTTTCTTAGTGATAGCCATTCCCCCTGGAGTGAGATGGAATCTCATTGTCATTTTGATTTGCATTTCCTTTACGTTAAGGATGTTGAAAATTTCTTCATGGGTTTATTAATCACTTGTACTTCTTTTGAGAATTGTCTGCTCAATTCATTTGCCCACTCTGTTGGTTCTCTCTCTCTTTGTATATGTCTCTCTCTCTCTTTTCCTTAGATTGTCCATTGATTTTGGAACTTTGTTTCCTTTTGCTGTGCAGGGAGCACATAGTTTTATGCAATACCATTTGTCAATCTTGCTGTTATTTCCTGGCCTATTGGAGTCCTATTCAGAAAGTCCTTGCCTGTGCCTCTATCTTGAAGTGTTTCCCTATGTTTTCCTCCCGTAGTTTTTTTTTTTTTTTTGTCTTTTCTTTTTTGGTGCTGGGATCAAACCCAGGGCCTCACGCATGCTAGGCAAGTGCTGTACCACAGAGCTACATCCCAGCCCTCCTCCAGTAGTTTTAAAGTTTCAGGTCTTACATTAAGTTTTTTGATGCTTTTTTGAATTGGTTTTTATATAGGATGAGAGATAGGGATTCAGTCTTCTACTCGTGGATGTCCAGTTTTCTCAACACCATTTTTTGAAGCGGCTGTCTTTTCTCCAATGTGTGTTTTTGGTGCCTTTGTTGAAAATCAGCTGGCTTTAGCTAAGTAGGTTTATTTCTGGGTTTTCTATTCAGTTTGTCTATATGTCTGTTTTTGTGCCAGTGTCATGCTGCTTTTGTTACTATGGCGCTGTCATATAATTTGAAGTCAGGTATTGTGATACCCCCAGCATTGCTGTTTTAGATCAGGATTGCTTTTGCTGTTTAGGGTCTTTTGTCCTTCTATATGGACTTCAGGATTGATTTTTCAATTTCTGTGAAGCATGCCATTGACATTTTCATGGGGATTGGCGTTGCATCTGTAGATGGTGTTTAGTAGTGTACCCATTTTCACAGTATTAATTCTGCCAGTCCATGAACATGCTAGGTCTTGGGAGTGGAAAGTCTTTAACTTATGTCGGTTCAGGGTCTGTGAAGGAAGAACCAGAAGCTTGGGCAACCCCTCTTCTGTCCAGGTCATTGTTTCATCAGGAGCTAGAGAATTTGCATTTTACCTCATTCCTGTTTGAACATTAGTCATCCAAAGGTCCCTGAGCACAGAAGTGCCCAGATGCAGGACTGAGTCACAACAGGAGTTGCAGTTATGAAACATATCCTTTGCGCCTTTTCCCTCTTTCACAGCCCTTTCCCAGGATGGAGGTGAGTTCATGATTGCTTATTCTTTTAGCTCAGTCCCAGTGGTCCTATTATCTGCCATGTGCCACTGAGTGTAATAGGGAAAGTGGTGATTCCATTGCCTGCCCTTGTGGAGTTTGCAGTCTAGGGGCAAAGAGAGATATTCATCAAATAAGCACAAAACAGTCCCTGTGCACAAATTGTCATCAGTCCCTTGAAGGAAAGGAAGGTGGTGCAGTGATAGAGAATAGCACGGGACTCAGTGATGGAGGATGAGACCTGGGAAGGCTGCTTCCAGAGATGAGCCTTAAGCTGAGACTGTGGGATGAGTGGTGGGAGGAGGGTTGCTCATAAGGGGCCAGTGTGCAGGCATCAATCAGATGGGCCCACAGAGCCCGCTTCTGCTGCAGAAACAGTCTCACGATGCCCACGGTGATTTCACCTCATCATTCCTCTCTGTGCAGTTGAGGCCCATTTTACACCTGCCAAAATGCATGGTATTTGTCGCTGGTCATTTCCATCTACAGCTGAGTGGGCCGTGCAGTGGTTATCTCCTGGGTCTAGTCACAGAATTCAATCATCTGAATGACATTTGGGCAGTAACAGTAAGCACAAAGTAATTTTATATAAAGTGAGTGGGAAAGGGTGTGGAATTGTATTAGAACCAGCATCCCTCTGTCTTTCTTTTTTTTCCCTTTTTAAAAACTAACATATGTTAATTGAATACAGGGGTTTCATGGTGATAGTTCCACACAGGACTGCTTTTCATCATGTATTTATTTTTATTTTTTTATTGTTGTGTTAGGGATACACTGTGACCTTTACAAAAGTTCTTAAATATGTCAAATATATCATAGTTGAACTCACCTCCTCCATCATTCTTCTTTGCCCTCCCCATTCCTGGAATAGTTTCAACAGGTCTCATTTTTCCATTTACATACATGTGTACATAGTTTTTGTACCATATTCATCCTCCCACACCCTTTCCCCAGCTCTTCCCCATCCTACTGGTACCACCTACCCCCCTTCAGGACCTGCTCCACCTTCTGGTTCTCCAATTTTGTAAAAGAAAAGAGACATTTTTGTTTAAGATAACTACACAGGGAGCTTCCTTGTGACATTTCCGTGTATATATGTATTAGAACCTGAATTGGTTCATCCCCTCTATTTTTCTCCTTTCTACCTTAGTTCCCTTCTTATGGTGATTTCAGCAGGTTTAAAAATTCTATATTCATTTATTTAATGACTTTGTTTTTTTAAAGTTCAAAGTGTTTGCAAATTTGGATGAGCAGATGAGGTTCTTCTCTGGATCATTATTGCCTGGTTAGGCATCTGATATTAATATCAATAAGATTATAATAATAATAAATAAGGTAATTAATAATTAAACAAGTAAATGGTAATGAAGTAATAGTAGGTAAACAGGTAATTTTTGCAACTTTGGCTTAACCCAGAGCTGGACTCTCTAAATTAGGTCACAGAAGAGTTATTTTAAGGCAAATGGCAGCACATAACATAGTCAGGGGGCTCTGGAGAGAATGGCTTTGTCACCCGTACCCCTACCCTTTTTTTTTTTTGGTGGTACTGGGTTTTGAATTCAGGGCCTCCAGCTTGCTAGGCAGGTTCTCTACCACTTGAGCCACACTTCAATCCCTTTTTGCTTTAGTTATTTTTTCAGATAGGGTCTCATAATTTTTTTTTTTAAAGCTGGTGTCAGACTGTAATCCACTTACCTATGCCTTCCCAGTAACTGGGGTTACAGGTGTGAACTATGATGCCTATCTTGTTTGTTGAGGTGAGGCCTTGCTAACTTTTTATTTGGACTGGTCTCAAACTGTGACCCTTCTGATCCCCACCTCCTAAGCATCTGGGATTAGAGGTATGAGCTACTGAGTCCAGTCTTCATCACTGTCTTTAAAATTGCTTTATAGGGGGCAGGGGACAGAGAAGGGGAGAACAAGAGTGGTTCAGTTCAGAGGACAAGTGGAAGTAGGGATGAGAGGGGACTGAGTACCAAGGCAGACCTTGTCCACCTCAGCTGGCCCCTGGCTCCCAGAGTGCTCTCATCCTAGTGCTTTCCCCTGCAGGGTCAGTTTTCCTATCTGGAAAGTGAGGGCATGGAATCCAGTGACCTCTGGCCGGAGAAGGCAATCACTCTACTGCCTCTGATTTGCTTCCTCTCCCTCCTACCAGAGCCTCTCCACCCTCCCTCCCCTGTGACCTCCCTCTGGAGGGGGTCAGTCTTCTTATCTGTAAGGCAGAAATCACAATGCATCAGAGATGGCCTGTGCCTCAGTGCTTTCATCTGTAATATGGCATAATAATAGTATTAATCCTGATAGGATTGGGGCAAGGATTAAATAGACCGACAGAGGTAAAGTACTTAGAATGGGGCCTGGTAAGCAATAACCATTGGTTAGTACTACCTAAAGTGGGGAGGTGGTGATGCTGTTGCATGTCATGCGGACCACTTGGCCTAGTTTCTCCTCTCCTTGTTGCCGATAGAGACTGAGGGGGAGGAGCCAGGCAGAGAGCAAGAGCTGTGGAAGGGGTGAGGGACTGAGATGACTCCGTCCGGTCTGGAAATAACTGTGATTTCTCCCATGTGGGAAAATACATTGGAATACCTCCCTCCCAGGTGTACCTGGGATACTCGGCAAGAATAGAGGCCCGGCCAGGTTCCCGCTGTTGCTCTGAGGAGAGGCCCTTGATGGACTCTGCTAAGCAGCCAGGGGTGGGGAGACATGATCAGAAGGTGCAGGCTAAAGGGTCACCTCAGTTCTTGCTCCTTCTTTGTGATGGACTGGAGTGAAGTTGCGTCTTATTCTTTTGTTCCATCAGTCATTTGATACACATTTTTCTGCGCTCCTAGCCTGTGCTACCAGACAGAATGGGCAAAGAAGGTGCTGCAGCAGGCTGTTCCCCAAGGAGCAGCTGGTCTGAAGGTGGAGACAGATGGCTAAGCAAATGGGTGTCCAACAGCACGGTGAGCAGGGTAGAGTGCGCAGGAAGCAGGAAGTACTCATTGCCGACCCAAAGAGGAAGATCAGGACAGACCACACTGAGGAAATATTTGGGCCAAACCTTGAAGAAAGGTGGGTGGTTGGGCCTGATTCCCCTGTCTTACCTGGGCATGCCCCCCTGGGCTGTGTTCCCTGAGGATCTGCTGACTGAGGATGAGTGTGGAAGGCAGGGCAGCAGGTACAGGGGCTCCATGAGGGGCACTGTGTGGGGTCTTCAGGGAGCTGTCATTAGTTAGCCCCAGTGCATGATACTAACACTTCCTTTTCCTTTCACTCTTCACTCTTGAACCAGGTCAGGGTTCCTGGGGGTGAGTGGGGGAGAGGCAAAACAGAGAGGGTGGAGAAGAAGTGAGTTTGGATGGAAATGGGGATTGTTCACCCTGGAGGCCACTGCTGGTGTTGTCTATGAAAACAGTGAAGACTGGGTGCCCTGAGATGAGCGAGGAGGCACGGGGCTCTTGGGTCATAAACTTGGGGCTTGGTTCAGTGGCCATGAGGACCACACCTTAGTTTCTTTCCAGCCATGCATTCCTTGGAGTGACTCTGAGTTGCCCTGCATGGTGGAGGCAACAATCATCCTGACTGATACTAACACTGATACTATACCAGGCAACGCCAGTCACATAACCACCCAGTGGGATGACTGCCATGTCTCCCTTTTATAGCTGAGGAAGCTGATGCCTGAAGGGGTTCAGTAACTTTCCTGGGTCATAGGAGTAAGGGGAGCCCCTTCCAACTCACTGTGCTCTACAACTATGGTAAGCCCTGGCTTCAGCTCCTGAAGTTTTGTAAATGGAGCATTCTGTATGTACCAAGCCTTGAGTTCACTGCTTTAAATGGATCACCTCACTTGATCCTCCCAAACCTTTAAGGTGGTGCTATGATAACCCTGACTTTACTGCTGAGGAGGCAGGTGCAGAGGGGTTAGCTACCTGTCCTCAGTCACATGGGTACAAAGTGCAGAAGTCAAAACTCAAACGACACTTGTGATCACAGTGCTGTTCTGCCAACTCTCCTATTCATCTGTACACCTCTCTTTTTGGTTTTCTCTTCTCTCAGCAGGTTTTAATTTGGCACTGTTACTGGGCCAGCCCACTGTGTGACTGATCATAGGCCCTGGTGGCCGGTCCATCACCTGGTGTTCTGGCTGGGTCCCCTCTGTACCAGACCCTGCCCCCTGCAATTCCAGGAGTAGGTGCTCTCAGAGGCAGGGCATTTCCTCTTGTTTTTGCTAAAGGAAGCAAACTCTGTGACGGGATATCCTCTACTGTGTTTTCTTATTATCCGAGAGAAAAAACAAAGTAGGGCTTACACATGAAAAATGGAGGGCTGGCCATTTGCAAACTGAGGGGGAACCTAGAAATTCTTTGCTGAGGGCTATTCTAGAGATACTGCTAAGGTGGTGAAAGGAAGCTAGAAGTTTGTTTTGACATGAGGTAATCTTCCATTCTGTTGGATAGCTCCTACCAACTACTCATCTTCTTGGGTCTCAGCCTCTTCCTTCATGGACAAAGCAGCCTATCCTAGTGGTTCTACCCGGACAGTCTTAACTTGAAAGTGAGGACTGAGCTTGGTCTTCTGGTCATAGTCTTGCTACTGCGCCTGCCCAAGGAAGTAGATTTTCATACAAGAGAAGAAAAGAGAAGAGGAAGTCCTCTCAAAGCCCTGCTGATGTGGAAGAAGGAATTGACGACAGTCTCCTCATGGATGTTTGGCTTTGTGGGAATTTATTTTCTACTTGTGTCCAGAGCCCAGAGCCCCATCAGGTTTGGCTCCAGTCTTTCCCTGCAAATGCTGTGTTTGAGCAGCAATATTTCCTTCAGTCTGCACATTGTCCCCCCTCAACAGTCTGAGTTCCTTGATTCTTTTCTTCACACCCTCCTGTATGAAGTAAGTAAAGGGAAGAAAAGAGCCTTTGACTCATAGCTAATTGCAGTGGGAGATCAAAGAGAGGGAAAGAGCAATTAGAGAAACCACAAGCCCCGTTCATTTTAGGAAGTCAGTTCAGAAATGCTCAAACAGGATTGGGGGGCGGGGGTATGTGGAGAAATGTAAAGCCTCATGATTTTTGTTTTGCCTTCCAGCAGTAGGGAAGTTGAGAGCTATGTGGGTAGCTCTATCCAGTGAGGTTTTTAAAACTGAAAGTGTAATCTGAGGAGTATGTTCAGGAAATACTTATTATTGCACTTCTCTGGCTGGTTGTCATGAGCTGGAAATTTAAGAGCCAAACCATGCTGCTGTCTTCCTGGTGAGGAAGGGAATGGGGGAAGGGAGTGTGAACTGCATGCAGCATGATCTTGCTGGGGCTTGACAAGGAATGCAATATGGGGGGAGACTGGGCTGTCAGAAATCCCGAGTTACTGGAATGAGGTACTCCAACTAGGGCGAGTAAGTGTCACAGGTTGCACAGAACAGGGGTCTCCTGAAACTAATGCTAAAACTGGCAAGGTCCCAGGAAATTCTGGATGATTCACCCACCTGTGGCCCTAACTTCAGGAGTTGCAACTGGGATAGGTCAGGGGGTGTAACGAAGGTCATTTGGGGACTGGGTACAGAGCTTTCCATTCCTGGCGTGTACTCAATAAGAATAGTTAACGGATCTCCACTTAACTAGCAGCAGAGACTTATCTGGTCTTGGAATCTCTTTGGCCAGGTTGAGCAAGCTCCCAGGTTAATTGAGTTTCCCAGTTTATGGCATCTAGTCGGGAAGGAGCTCAGGTGGTGGTGAGATTTGGACTTAGGCTATGTTCACCTGTGGTCTAAAACTCTCAGAAAAGGATGATTTTTATCTTTTTCTTCCAGAAAATACCAATGATATGGTGCCAGTTACCCTGACTTGCTGTGGGCATAGGCCAGTGGGAGAGAGGGTAGGGCCGAAGGGAGGAGGATTGGGTTTTCCAGAACTCAGTTGCCTTATGGGAGAAATTTAACTGATAGGTGAGCAGAACCTTCCTTATGGAGAGTAGACACTTGGCTTGGATGGTAGGGGTCTTGGAGGTCACTGCATGTGGGCAGGGATGATAAATGGGGACCAACCATCTCAGTTTTAACTGAAAGTCTGGGAAACTCCTCAGTCCTGGCAAACCAGGACAATTGATTAGCCTAGTGGAAGGACAAGGTCCCAAAATGACCAGTGAGGAAGTTTTTGATCAGGGCATAAAGAGGTGATGAGAGTGAGCTGAGGGCTCAGAGCTGTTTTAGGAGAATGTCAGGTTCCAGAATTTAAATCACTTAAAAAAAAAAGACTTTTGTAGTGTCCAGAATAAAGAAAACAAATGCACCCACAGGCCATGTCTTCCTGGGCAAGCCCTTGTGGATGGGAACAGCTGGAGTCTGGCTGACTTAGCTACTCCCCCTGAGAGCCAGGGGAGCAGCTAAGAGCGATGACCTGGGGTCAGAGGATTGTTTTGGGGTGAATGGATGCAGGGGTCCCTAAGTTAAGCAGCCTTAAACCAAAATTTTATGCTCTGTGATTTTTTTCCCTCTAAATTTCCTTTTGGAAAATTGATCTGACTTCCTACCCTTTCCACAGGGTGAGGGTGGGATGGCAGAGCTGGAGTGGAGCAGGACTGTGGCCTTCAGCCTGTATTTGTGATCAAGAGGGCAGGCTTCAACAGTTGAGGGAAGGTAACAGGGAAATTTGACAGGGATTGGCAGCCCAAGTGCCTAGCTCAAGCCAAAGGTCTTCCCTGGCTCTTAAGAAAAAAACATTTGCACATATACCTGAGCAAGAACTATTTCTATCTTCCAGGATACATGGTAAGTACTCATGTGTCCTGTAACCTTTTTAAAGAAAACTCAAATGTCCTTCTCAGGGAATGTACCCAAACATGTTTTCTACTTTTCATCTGTTGGGTAGAATAGAGTGTGATTGGCTGAATCCTGAGGGTTCTGGGGATGACTCTATTACTCTAATATACAGTAATCTCCACAAGAGCAGAGTCTGGTTTATTTTGCTTGTGCTGACTCTTAAAGCCTAGAGCAGTGCCTGGCATATAGAGTTTCAACAGTCAAGTAGTGAATGAGCTAGGGACCAACTCAGTAAGTGCCTTTCTGAGTGAGTAGAGTACACTAAAGGCTGTACTACAGTAGGTCTCACACTTGACTGAACATTGGAAGTCTTAAGAACATCTCATTCCCCAGGCCACATTCTCTACCTACCTATAAGCAAGAATCTTTGTAAGAGACACCTTTGCATCATTATTTCAAACCCCATTGTATAGCCAAGTATGAGCATCAGTGCTGTAGGGTCTCTCTGTGTGTGTACACGTGTGTGGGCGTGTACATGTGCAGGGTTTTGTTAATTCAAGTGTGGTTCCTGGACCTGCAGCTGCAAGCATCACCTGGGGTTCCCTTACAAATGTGGCTCCCAGGCCCCGCCCTAGCTCTGCTCAGTCAGGATCTGCGTTTTAGTAAGATCCCCGGGGATTGATGTCACTGTGGGATGCGCTGCTTAGAGGTTGTGGGGGTACGAGAATCCCTTGGAGCTTGGTCCAAGAAGTGGAGAGTAGTGAGAAATAAAACTGGCAAGCAGGTTGGAAAGTGTGGATTTGCTGAGCTGGCAGTGGAGAGCCATGGGAAAGTCGTGAGCATGAAGCGAGGCATCAGAACCGGAGCAGTGCTTTGGGGGCTGAGTCCCTTCAGTGGGATCTGGTGTCTGAGAATGTCACCTTCTCTTGCAGGTGCTGCTTCCAGCAGCCAGCTTGCTGCAGCTCCTGGATGTTCGGCAGAACTGCTGTGACTTCCTGCAGTCTCAGTTGCACCCCACCAATTGCCTGGGCATCCGTGCATTTGCAGATGTGCACACCTGCACTGACCTTCTGCAGCAGGCCAACGCCTATGCAGGTAATGGGGAGCCAAGCCACTGCACCTCCCCTGAGCTTGTGAATTTAATCACCTGGCCTGCTGTAGATGCCTTAAAGAGTATGAGAAGTGGTCTCTGCTGGAAGCAGTTATGATTTAGTCAGGGGGAGAAGGAGCAAGTGTGGTGATAATTAACAGTAGACTAGTTTAGCTCACTGTTAAGTGGAGTATGACAGATTGATAAATGATGCCACAGACAGTAGAGGAAGGAGAGCTGAGAAGGTTTGGCAGGAGGGAGAGTAAACTGAGCTAGGTGGTGAAATAGATCCTTTTAGTTGTTGAAGACAACTTTTGCTTTGGTCATACTGTTCTATGTACACGATATGAAAAGTCATCTATGGTTGCCAGACTTGTTATGATGAGGAAGTCTCCCTGGCTCTTCTTTCCACACTATTTCACTTTCTAAAGTTCCTCCTCCTCTCCTTCTTCTCCTTCTCTTCCTCTTTGTTTATTTTTGTGCTAGGGATCCATCCCATGACCTTGTACATGCTAGGCAAGTGCTCTACCACTGAACTGCACCTCTAGCCCTCTACTTCCATTTTTCTAAGCAATTTGTATATCCTGTCAATTTTTGAGGTTTTTTTGATTTAGACATCATCAGTTGATTTCTCTAGAAGAATAAGATTGGGCAGCTACAAGCTTTCCCCTCCTGCACTTGCTCTTAACTTTCCTTCATTGACCTGTTATTGTTCTCTTAACTGAGCTGAGCCATGTGTTACGGTGTTATAATGAGAATTTTTTAAAATCAGAAAGGCAGATAATAATTGCCTTTTTATTTTGAATGTATGTGCTAAGACCACTAATTTTTTTTTTGGATTCTTTTTATTATTGTTGTACTGGGGGAACATTGTGACTTTTACCAAAGTTCTTACAATGTATCATAGTTGAGTTCGCCCTAAGACTACCAATTCTTGTTGGGCAGATACAACTGAATGATCCTTCTCAGTCCGAGGATGTGTTCACTCCACTTCATTTTTCTGGGAGACATTCTCCCTCCTAGACCTTGTCATTCTATTATTTTAAGGGGTTCTTGTAAGGGAGTAGAGATAAATTTGAATATTCAATCCACTGCATTTAGTCATTTATTTCAGTTGAAGAAAAGATCATTTGTGATCTAGGAAACAGAAATGGCCATTTTAATTGATAAATTCACTCATAGCTACCTTCTTTCCTTGCAGTAAAAAACATCATTTCATCCCCTACCCAAACAAATGCTGTCATAATGCTGTTCTGTTTTGTGTTCCTGTTGAGCCAGTGTCTGGAAATAAGCTGAGGACCCACTGGCTGCCCATCTGCAGCTTGCTGGGCTGTACCAGTCCCTTGGTCCACGAGGCAACAAGTGTCGTGCTGCTTCTTGGCATCCTTTTGCTCATCCTTTTTGCTCATCAAGCCCTTGACTTCTGGAGCCTGTACAGATTCCAATTTCTCCCTGAAGTCTGTCTCTGAGGACACACATGGGACCAGTGGTTAAAGTGGCTGTGACGATGATGGCTTTTGTGAAGGACAATCCCAGTATTACCAGTCCTGAAGCCTGCTGCCTCTTGCTGGCTCTGTTTGTCCCTGGGCTCTCTTGTTTCTCTGCTCTCCCCCTTCCCTGCATTTCCTCACCCCCTTTCTATCTTTTCTCAGGGTGCCTTTCTGTCCCTCGTATGGGCTCTCCAGCCCAGCCTTGGAAGAAGCCACTCCCTTGAGGGATGCTCTCAGGCTTTTCTTAGCAGGAGCTAAACCAGGTTAAGCATTTGCCGGTGCAGATTTTTTTTTTTTTACAAGTGTTTACCAGTGTGGTGGCCAGAGTACAGTGCTTAGATGCCAAGGATTTTCTGACTCCTCCTTTCTTGTCTCACTCACCAGCCCTCTCCTACTTAGTGCATGCATACACATGTGTACACACAAGCACATATCCCATCTTTTTATAGTTGACTCATGAGATCATCTCTGGAGTATGTTGAACCCTCACCTTTAAAAAGGTTTCTCTCACCACTCTTAGCACCCATGTTTGCTCCTTCTGCCTCTGCCTCTGTATGTGCTGAGATGCATTTGTGAGAGAGTGAGGAGGATGCAGTGGTGACCACATTAATCTTCCTGGTGCTCGTTGGTCCTGATGCTGTCATAGTGATTGGCTTCTGGCAGCAGTGTGTGTGTGTGTGTGTGTGCAGATACCTGGTGAATTATTTTTAGCTAGCATTTACTGAGCTCTCACTTTGGGTCACACCTTATGCTAAGCATTTCATGGGCATTATCTCATTTAATACATACAGCAGTGGAGGAAACCAAAGCACAGAGAGGTGACATAGTTTGAGGTCATATAGCTAATAGGGACAGAATCAGAACTGAAACCCAGACAGAGTCAGCATTTGTAACTACTGCCTTCCTTCTACAGCTTCCAGGCCCAGTTTGGACATATGGCAGCCCTGTGAGTCAGTGAGGAGTGCAGGCGTGTACAGTTGGCATTTTCCTTGGGAGGTGTGTGCCTGACAGCCTGTGTCATGTAGTCGCCAAATCCCAACAGCAGACAGAGTAGACGGACACCAAGCTGTCTGCTAGACACAGGGTGTGCATTCATCCTGGGGTGTGGGAAGCACCATGTGGGTGTCTCCTTCTCTTCCTGGTTGGGCTGCTGCCTCCTGGCTACATGGAGCCTGTTCTTTCTCTGCATGAGTGAGCCCTCCTCCTTTCCCTGGTTTGGTCAGGCTGGGAGCCTCCTCCCTGTGATGCAGGCCTCCTGGGGAGCCTGTGACTGTCTCCTGGATGGCTTTCTCTGCAGTTCTTAGTTGTGCCTAGCAGAGAGGTCATATTTATATAGTGGAATGATAATGCAGAAGTTGTAAGACCAGGATGAAAAGACATGAGAAGGTGTGAAGTGAAGGTAAAACTATGCAGTATTTAGAGAAGAGAGTAAAAAAGATTACCTGTGCCTGCTTCCTTAGATTGACATGGGCTTGCTTTGTTTCTTTGGTCTCACATCCCTGTCCTTGGATGGGGCCTTGTGCTCTCTGCCATTGCTTGCTTCTTGAGACAGATCTGCCACTTTTACCACCCTGAGAGTGGGAGTGTAGGCACCCACTAGGATCAAAAGGACATTGTTTGTCCTGTGGTCACAAGCCTTCCTGGGTGTTTTAAGCCTCACATTAACAGATGTTTTAAGCCAACAAATTGCAAGGAGACTTTCCAGATCAGAACCAAGAGTCAGACCAGCTGGTATTTGGAGCTGAGTGACCCTGGACTTGTCATCAGAATGATTTGGGGCTTGGGGCAAGAGGAGAGAATCCTGCAGGACTTGACACTCCTGGGCTGCACTCTGGAGCCTCCCAGTCACCCTTACCATCTGAACTGAGAGAGGCTCAGACCTGGGTGCCTGCTAGAAAGATGGGAACCCTTGGGTTGTCACCACCTGTGCTATGGACCACATGTACTTTTGGGAAGGAGAACAATTTCCAGGGATTGATTCCCACCCCCAGCCCTGTTCTTCCACCCATCTCTGACCAGTTGGGCTCTACCTTCACATGTCTGTAGCCCCCAGTTTGCCTCTGAACCTTGCTCCTTTTCCTTTTCCAGTAAAAGCTTTCTTTTTCTTATATTATTACTGCTGTTGCTGTTGCTACTTTAATACAAATCACATCCATGATCATCACAGAAGAAGCAGACAGGCCTGCAGCACATGAGAAGCACCACAGTACTACCTGAGAGAACCACTGCAGCATCTTGCTGTGTATCCTTCTGGGTCTTTCTGGATCTTTTTTAATTGTATGTGTATGTTTCCAGCTTTAACAAAAATTCTTAGCAGCATATTCTGAACATCTTTCAATATCAGCAGATACATTTCTGTGTCATTGTCCTGAAGCTTTACAGTAATAAAGGCAAGTTCTTCTTGTGCAAACAGTATACCACAGAGGTATAAAAAGTCAATCTTCTCCCAGGCCCTCTTGGAAGATGGCAGGAGGAGTATATTGGATGTCTCTAAAGAACATATATATATGTATGATTTTAACTGACACAAGTAGCATTTTATACTCATGGTACTTTTGTTCAACTTCCTAGAAAATCTTGGAATTCTTTGCAGATCCTTGAGTATGGCTGTATCTTTTTTTAAATCTGCTGTACCATATGGATGAAGTATAATTTATTTCATTAGTCCTCTCTTGAGAACATTAATGCTTCCAGTTTTTTCTTTTATAGAAAATGCTTCAGTGAGAATTCTTATATGTAATATTCTGGAGTACACTTGCTAATATACCCATAGGATGCAATCTTGACAGTGTAATTGTTGGACCAAAGAGAATGTGCAGGGCTGGGGATGTAGCTCAAAGGTAAAGTGCTTGCCTCACATGCACGGAGCCCTGGTTTGATTCCTAGCATCACACATGCACACAAAATATTGCCAAATTTCTTTTTCTGAAAAAAAAAAAAAAGGAACCTTGTTTTTGAGGCTAGCTCTTGCTTTCTGACACATCTCCAGCCTCCCTGGTGAGAAAAGGATGTTGGGGGGCCTGGAGAATCACCTCTCTTCAACCAGCAGCCTGTTTGATTTCCTGTTTGGAGCAGCCATGTCTCTTCCGGCTGTGACAGTCCCTCCTGCTACCTCTGAATCCATTCTGTCTTTCAGGGTGATGTTCTAGCCTTCTACTGTGATTTGTGCTATTCTGTGGGACATGAGGGTGGGTTCCACATTTAGAAGCTGACTGCTCAGACTCCTAACCTCAGCTGACGGCATCCCAGTCCTCCTGAGTAGTTAGCAGCTGGAAAAGGGACCCTCATGTTCTGCACAGCCTGTTTCTTGTCCCTCATTATTGTTGTTTCCAAGGATTGCTTAATCTTTAACCTCAGAGGCCAGGACCAGGTTTATGGGGACTCTGTTGTTTGGTAATTGGACGGCCATGTGCTGGACCATCAGCAGAGCTGGTGGGAAGGATGTTAATGGGACCTCATTAATGAAATGGCAATTAAAATTCTTTGGGCATGTTGTTTACATCAGTCTGCCAAAG